GGTAAGCGCACCTTGGGGTGCTTACACACATCATTAGAAATGGGCTAGTCCAGATGCGAGAATTAGCCTGTAAGGGTTAGAGTTCATGGGCCAAGCAGTTCTTAAATGAATACAGTTTGTGTGTTGTTATTTCGGGCATGAGCTAGCCAAGTGGCTGGGGTGTTGGGGACGCAGCCCCGCCGCTTCATATTTCAACAAGGTGTAATAGGTAAATAGCTTAGTCTCCATGAGCACTGACACTCCAAAACTGTCCAGTGGTGAGCCACTCTTGAGTAACCTACTACCTCAGAGTTGGGACAGCCTCCCCAGCCACACAAGGTCACTAGGTCACTAGGGCCATGTTTATCCCATAGATCTGAGGAACACCAATACCTTTGTATTTTCTAGATCAATGAGCTAGGATGTGAATGAGCATCTTCTGTGGAGAGAGAAGCAGTGGAGAAGCCAGGAAAGTCAATCACACAGCTTACCTCTTCACTGGAATGAGGCGATTAAGTGCTCTTCCTGGAATGACAGAGATAACGCAGTTTTACAAATTGGTGATCCTTTGATGTCTGATGAGACAGACTATGCCCATATCTCCCACAATATTCGTATTTACTTATCCCAGACCCTTTCCTCCTAAATCCTGAGCATTGTTTTTAGGCTATAAAACCCATTCTTGTGAGTGAGGTCACTTGGGCTTTTATAAAAAGTGTTATCTTAGTGCCAGGCCAATCCTGGTGTTATGTTCACCTCCGTCAAGCTCCCTAGACCCTAGATCCTGGGCACTGTCTCTGAGTCAACAGTCCCCATTCTAAAAAAAAAAAAAAAAAAAAAAAAAAAAAAAAAAGCCAGAGATATTTTGTAAATAATCTCAGGGTAAACACGCCTTAAAGTGTTGTGCCCTTGGAACTGAGCTAATTATTATCTGAATTTTTTTTTCCAAAATTGTGTTGCACTTAAATATGACTAAAGTAAAATGATCAAGGACAGACTCCAGACGTCCTGGCCCAGCGCTGGTTACATTAAGATCAGGCTGAGCTGAGTTTCATTCTTACCTCACTCTGAGCATTTTTTTCCCTTCCTGCTGTAAAGCTTGCAGGGGAATCACCACGATCTTAGGTTAACGGACTGAATGCTGTGTCCATCCTACATCTGTGGGCACTGTCTGAGTATTCATCGTGGTTTGCGGGGCAGATAGCATAGGCACCCAGGTTTACCGGGTAGGGCTGCTTCACAATGCCATACGGACACAATTCCATCTCTAGTTTGAGGGATGGGGAAGCCCGTTGTGTAGAGACAGCCGCCTTTAGTCAGCATCCATGCTGGGTCTGTGCCTCAGATCCTGTGTTCAGTCTAGGTGTGTGGGACCAGGTATCTGTGGCCCTCCAGCATCTGTGGGATGGGTCACCATGGTCACCTAGGTATTCAGGGAGGACAGCGTCCATCTAGGTATATAGGATTCTGTGTGCATTCAGGTCTGTGGAGCTAGATGAATACTTTATCTGTGGGGTGGAAATAACCTGTTCACCCCTGGAGGGTCCAAATGCCGTGCACACCTAAGGTCTCTGCAGAAGTATCCCAGGTCTCTGAAGAAGATGCCATATCCGCCCTTGCTCTGTGAGGCATAGGCACCATATTCTGCAAGGCAGAAGTCGTGTCTATCTCGGGTCTGTGACAGACACCACTGGCATCCCATTTCTCTGAGGAAAAGCTATGTGTATTGTAGGACCCAGACGCTAAGTCTATCCAGGGTTTGTGGGACCTGACACTATATTCACCCTGGGTCTCTAGGGTGCCCATGCCATGTCATCTATTACGACTCTGTGAGTGTAAACCATCCAGCTCTTTAGGGCTCTGTGGGGAGCAGACACAGTATCCAGCCTGGGTCTGCATCTGTCCCGGGTCCGTGGTGAGGATGCTGAGCTCATTCCGATTCTGTGGGACTGGCGATACGTCCACCCAGGTCTCGGAGGAGCACGCTATATTTATGTCGGGTTTGTGCGGGGGTCGCCGTGTCCTTTCCAGGTGTGGGGTGCAGACGCCCGAGTTGATCCCAGGTCTGTGAGGAGGACGCTTGAGTCCAAAGAGCTCGCTAATTCATTCCCGGACTGCAGTGCGACCCTGCAGGGTGTTGTCCGACCCTGGCAAACTGGCCCCAGCCGCTGGCTGCTTCTGTAGAACCAGCAGCTTTCCAAGGAGTTTGGGAGAAACAGAATCAGGCAAGCACTTTTCACACCGCTTATAGAAATTCACGAACCTAGCAATGGAAGTTAGACCTCTTAAAAAAAGAAAATCTCGCGAGAACTAAATGCCTGGTTTGTACCCGTAGATCTCGCGAGAAGTTTAGGCGACTTTCCTGGCTGCCGGAAGCCGCAAACTTCTCCAGGTTGTCGGTATCCCCGGCGGCGTGATGCCCTCCCCTTTCTCGGTCAGAACCTTCCCGGTCAGCATCCCCGCGGTGATCATGGTAACTTGCGGACTATGGAGACTGGGTGGCGCTGGCACGTGGTGGGGAGTCGCTAGTTCTTTTGTGGACTGCGCAGGCGCGGGCACTCAGTCTTCCTGAAGTCGCCCTGTGGCTCCGCTGGATGGGGCAGACCCTGGGTGCTCACAGGCGGTGCCCTGGCTCCCCAACACCAGTGTGCCTGCCGTGGCTCCGCTGGATGGGTCAGACCCTGGGTTCGCGAAAGCGGTGTCCTGGTCCCCAGTACCAGTGTGCCTACTGTGGCTCCCCTGGATGGGGCAGACCCTGGGTCCCCAACACCAGTGTGCCTGCCGTGGGTCCGCTGGACGGGGCAGACCCTGGGTTCGCGAAAGCGGTGCCCTGGTCCCCAGTACCAGTGTGCCTACTGTGGCTCCCCTGGATGGGGCAGACCCTGGGCCCCCAACACCAGTGTGCCTGCCGTGGCTCCACTGGATGAGGCAGACCCTGGGTGCTCGCAGGCGGTGCCCTGGGTCCCCAACACCAGTGTTCCTGCCGTGGCTCCGCTGGATGGGTCAGACCCTGTATACGCCCAGGCCGACCTCTGGACCCCCAACACCAGTGTGCCCACGCTGGTGGGATCTTGGCAGCGGCAGCGTGCATTGCTTTCCCTACCGGGCTCAGGACTGACTCAGTGGTCATTCTGGTATGTCACGGAAGAAACATTAAGGGGCAGTGGACTCCAAACTTTTGGGCTCCACACTCCAGAGCTAGTCTTACTTTGTGGAGCAGTACCCTTGGACGTAGGCGGGCGTGGGGGAAGTACTGGGAAATCTGAACTAGGAACCTTGTATCAAGTGGGGACAGTCAGAAAGATTTGAGCCTTGGGGTATGGACCCTGATCATCTGTGAAGATGATCCCTAAGGAACTCATGAAGCACTGTCTAGCGAACTGGGTGCACTGCAGAAGTGCTGGGGACACTCGGTCCTGCGGGTTAGGATGACTCTCATGTCCAGGCCCTGATAAGAGCTTCCTCTAGGCAGCTTCACACGCGCCAAGTGTATCTCCTTGACTAGGCCAACTTTTTTTACTCAGCTTGTTAGTTTAGATGACAGTCACCCTTTAGATTTCACCCAGCTTGGGAAGAATTGTATTCACCAGTCCAAGTGGGCGATGGTTTCCAGTCTGTGTGCTCAGACTTTAAAATCTTTGTATAAAATCCGTGGATGTGTTTGCAACCGAAGCATCGCTGTTTCTTTCCTCGCTTTGCTCCCACTTGTGTGGGAGGCTTAGCTGTGTCATCCCAAAACGCAGGGACAGGGACCGGCCATTCTCATTACCCACGGGAAAGCATTTTTGCAGATAGACCACCAACCCCACGTTTCTGACACTGTATCCTTACAGGAGACAGACTGGACAGAGCCCTGGCTCCTAGGGCTTGTTGTCTTCCACGTGCTGTGCCTGCTCCTCACCTGCTTCTCATCAAAGAGGTATAAACTACAGATCGGACACTTCCTGTGCCTCGGTGAGTAGGAGACAGCTGAATCCCCGTGCTTTGCTGGGATACTGCCCCGGGCTTGTTTGTATTATGTTTTCACAGGGCTTTCCCAGTCTTCCCTTCTCTATGGAAACCATGAAGTAATTGTTGGACGTTGAACTTGAAGGGAGTTTTCCTTTCACTTCAGGCTGGCCAGGAAGCATACGGAACATCAGGTGTACTAAGACGGTGGTTCTGTTACGCTGCCTCTTACACGGACAATTTTCTGCCTGAGTTCAGTCCTGGATGGCGTGTCTTTCATGCAGATATTTTCTTGCTGGGCTTAGTTCCATACTGCACGCTCTGGAAATCAGACGAAAAATTAAGAGAGACCTTCTCTACGTAAAATACTATTTCAGATCCGTTTTAAGGATGATGACTTTAGAAACTGTGGGAATCCAGAATGGAGAAAGATTACAGAGAAGCAGGCACGCCATAAAAATCGTGGTAATTGACCAAATGGGGACAATCAGTATATTAGGCCCCTCAGTTAGATCAAAAAGATACTCAGTAAAATGTCAGTAAAAATATCAGTTAATAGCTGGCTGGCCCAGGCATGATATCTGCCCCAATTGCAGATAAGTGAGCAGAGCCCCAAAAATATAGGGTGGAAGATAGGTAGGAAGCTGGATCAGAGGTCAGAGACCACAGTCTGCAGGAAGTAAGTGTTACTAGGCTGAATTACTACAGGTGTAAACACTTGACTCTTGTGGGCCCTGGAAGGAGGAGATGTCGCCTGGTAAATGGGAAATCTGATTTCAGACAACTTGAATCAGTTGACTGTGAGAGGTGGGACATAGGACCCAGTAGCTGTCTTAGAGAAACGAGTCCTTTCTCCATTCGGGGTTCTTCTGAGGAATGCTGGGCTTAACCTTGGAGAGCAAAATAGGGCTCTAAGCTTAGTGTCCTTGAGGACCCGCACATTCTGTAGATAGCCATAGAGTATTGTAATTGTACTGTTATCCACCTTAGTGATCATTCTGATAAGAACTGAGCTGCAGTGTGCAGGGAAAATGCCAAGGGGCCTTGTGTGCCTGTCTGCAGGTGGTGTACAAGCTCACGGGCTCGAGCAGACAAGGGCAGGGATGAGGATGAGAACTGTGTGCAGGGTCTTGAGGGCAGTGCCTTGGAAGGTGGGACAGTTTCTAAGTTTAAGAGAAATAGCACATATGAGTTGTTTTTTTCATTCCTGAGCCCGAGCTTCCCACCTGAACTATGGTGGTCCCACCAGTGTAGCACAGCTTCGGAGTCTCACAGAGACCCTTGGCATCTTATACATGTTTCAATCCTATAACTTCACAATTTCACAGTCCTTAATTTCTCGGCAAATGTTTTGGTATTCTGTTGCTATATGTAAAAATGTATGATCTTGTTCTATAGTGATAGTGATTGGTCATGAGATCCTAACATGATTTCTCTCTTCTCTTAGTCACGTTGGTCTATTGTGCTGAGTATATCAATGAAGCAGCTGCAATGAACTGGAGGTAAAGTCAGCTTCTGTGCTCTTGACTGTGTCCTCGGAGTTTCCCTCTGTGGTTGTGTTATCATATAGAACTTTGTCAAGAAAGCCTGAGACTTACAGGGAAACTGAGAACGTCAGAAATTATGGCCACTTAAATATTGAGCACTCTGTATATATAGGCTTAGGCCTTAAGAAACAAACAGTTAAATATTTTTGTTGTGAACTGAAGATTAATGGCTTTATTTTATTAATAAAAATAAATAGTCAAAGCTCCTCATTGAAGCTATGTGTCATTAAACAAAAATCCTACTGCCACTTTTGAAATAACTCCTGGTCAGGGGGCCTTAGAGGCTTACAAAACAGTGAGATGCTTTAAGAATTGTGTACGTGTGCACTGCACCACTTGAGTGCTTCAGGTGCTGGCCAATCAAGTTACAATCTGTAAGAAAATATTACAAGTATCGTAAAGTAATTTGAGTTTTCGGATTCCAAGGTGGGAGTTTTAGAAGGTGCTGAGTAGGTGCTGTACTTTTGAGACCTTTCCCTACCTCTCCCCTCTCCTCTAGAAAACGTCTTCCCTATACCTGGAAGTGCCAGAGCCACCATGGTCTTCTCCCTGCTTTTCCAGCCCTGGCACCTAAGTTGTCTTTCCTGATTCTCCTGTCTCAGTAGAGACTACTCCAAACGTTCCCACATATCTCTAATCAATCAGAAAGGCCCAGGACGGTACTGATGCCCATGGCTCCCGCTGCAGCCCCTCCTGCTGGACCCATGGCCACCTCAAACTTGTGTTGATTCCCTCTTCAGGTCAGAGACTAGTCTTGACTCTCTGCACCCAAAGCTTTCCATGTTCCCTGCTTTGTTTTAGTCAGTATGCACTCTGCCTGAGTCCCTCGTTCTCTGCAGACGGTAGACTTCCTGTAAGAGTCAATCTGTCCTTACTCTTCCTTGCTGTAACCCATAGCTCATGCAGCAGGTTCGCAATCACTGCTACCAAGTCAGTGAAAACAGTGGTCTAGCGTATTCCCACATTGCTGAGAGAGAAATCCCCGTAGATAGCTCCCACCCTCTGCTGCCTGGATTTTTACCCCTGGGCAAATTGGAATCATGCAGCCTTCAGGTCTCTTACACAGACAGGCAGTTATGTCACTAAGGTGGTTGGGAGCAGGGAATACTAGACACAGTACTTTCTCAAGTGGCTGTAGCGGGCATGCAGCTCTTCCTCTGTAATTTATGAGAGACGTTAGGTCTGTTTCTGCCATGTGTTACAGCGGATGCAGACTCTTCAGTGACCCCAGACTGATAACTGCTGTTCTTTTGTCACACCCCCACCCCCCAGGACTGAGAGTCCAATAATTGTTTTCATTTGTTTATTTTTTTCCTAAAACAGATCGTTTGCAAAATACCAGTATTTCGATTCCCGGGGGATGTTCATTTCTCTCGTGTTCTCAGCACCGTTGCTGGTGAACGCCATGGTCATCGTGGTATGTATGGTTCAGACCTTTTCTGTCCTGCTTTCTTCAGCCATGTGCTTTCCAGTTTTAACCGTGGCTTCAAACGATTCTAGATTATGTGGGTTCGGAAGACTTTGAACGTGATGTCTGACCTAAAGAACTTGCAAGAAAAGAGAAAGGAGAGGAAAAGGAGAAGGAAGGAGGAATAGCGACGCCTAGCTGTTGCTGTGGACCTTGTTTTCCTCTGACTGGCTGTTTCCAGCTGTAGGCTGCGCAGGGCCCAGATGTCCTCTGGCAGCGGACTCATGGTCTGGGAAATGGTTCTTAGATTTCACACCCACAAACATGGAGCCTTCAAAGAGCATCAGTGTCACCTGGATGCTGATTGAACACGGAACCACATTTGCCTGGTGGGAGCTCTTGTTCAGCTGCAGGAAGAGTCCCATGCGGCTTCTCACGGTTTGCTGGCAGACCGCATCCTGTAACTAATGTTCACGCTGTCTCAAGTGTGGAAACTGAGAAATAAACAGCGCCATCCTGCCTTGTGGCACCACAACGCACTCGCTGTTCTGTTTCTGATCTGTAGGGGTCGCTCTTAGTTAAGGGTGATCTTGTTTCCCCAGAGACTTTGGTGACAAGGGTCACCACAGATAGGCATGGCACTTGTGTTTGTTGGGTAGAGACTAGGATGCTGAAATCTTAGAGGACACAGGATAGTCCCCCACCCCGCCCCCTGGGGAATATTGTTCTGTATGTGATGCCAGCAGCACCCAGGCAGAGGGAACTGCGCTGCAGGTCTGGAAAGGAATGTAGTGTATCAGTTCCCATGAAGCTAAGCCTCTGAAGAATTGAATTGGGGCTCTGCCACTGAAAATGTTTTGTTTAAAAATATTAAGCTAGCATGGAAGCTGTAAAGTCCAGACTCCATGGGAAATAGTATGTCAGATGAACCGTTGGGTGTTGTTTTCTCTGGGTACAGAATTATAAATGCTTGCATGCTCGCTGAATGGCGTGGCTGTTTCTCTACAGCTTGTGACAGGCGCAGACCTGTTCCTCCTGAGTGTCACACCTTGTGCAGCTGGGGGTTGGCAAGCACAGAGAAGGACACGTTGCTCCTGTCTCATCAGATGTCCTTAGTTTCTATGGAATCTGGAGCAGTAAATCTCCAGAAATTACCAAGTACTAGAGACTAGACTTAGAAACAGCATTCAGTACTTGGAACTCTATAGACTCTTAGCTTTAGTTTAAAGAAATATTTGTGAATAGTTTTCTTTATTTAGTTGTTTTCTCCTTTCTAAATGAAACATTCTTCCAAGTTCTAAAATACAGAAGAATCTAGATAAAAGTATTTAAAGTTAAAAGTAGACAGTTATGTCCTGGAGCCCAGCTCTTACAGAAAGGCCCCTGACCGAACGTGACAGTCTGATACGGTGTCAGCTTGGCTCCTTCATGGAGCCACTGCAGCCTTCAGCTGACCTGCGTTCTCAATTGCTTGATCTGTTCCACTTTTACCTTGTACCAAAAAAGTTCTAAAGGAAATATCATAGTATATTAAGTCAGATTTTTTTAATTTAAAATCACACTGTTAAGTCATGGACGTTGTATCTAATGGTCTGTTTCTGAAAATTACTGGTTCTGGGTGTTTATTCATTTTATGGTTACAAAGGCACTCGCTATAACATTGGTTAGTTTCACAGAAAATAAAAACAAATCGATCAGTTACATTTAGTTAGATAAATCTGAAAGCAGGAGAGTGTCAGGGAGGCTTAGAACTCGCCAACCAGACCTGTTCCCCTTGGCCTTTGTGTCCAAGGCTTGTGGTACAAAATGTGTGAGGGAGTGGTTGAGCTGCCTGAGTCCTGACATTATGCAGGACAGCTTCATGGGTGCTGGAGAGGAGAGAGAGAGGAAGCAGGGCACTTGTAGGTGCTCTGCACTTTACAGCACTGGTTCCATTGTTTGGACTGGCTGCATTTGCAACCAATCAGCTTAATCTAATTTTCTCTGATAAAATAATACAAAGGTATTATTACTTCACTGTATATTAATATTAATACCTTGGACTTTACATAACCCTGACCTTGACTTGGGCTTTTGTGCCTTTTCTCTGCATATGTGGTTGTGAATGCACACATGCCTAGTTTTTGAGACAATTAGAGTTGTTGGTTTTTAAAAAGACAATATTTGGGGATGGAGAAATGGCTCAGTTGGTACTTGGGTTGGAAAGATGGCTCGGTTGGTGCTTGGGCTCGAGAGATGGCTTGGTTGGTACTTCCCTTTTCCTTTTAAGCATGAAGGCCTGAGTTTGAACTCACTTAAAATTTATGCATGCTTACATGCACTGTAATCCTAGCCCCTGGAGATGTGGAGACAGACAGATGTCTGGAGTTCCCTGACTAGCCAGCCTAGCCTGCTTGGCTAGCTCTAAGCCAGAGAGACTGTCTAAAAAAATGAGATGGGGACTTATGAGATATTTCCATGTGTAAGGGTGGTTGCTACCAAGCGTTGCAATCCAAGTTCAGTTCCTAGAAAATCTACAAGTTGGCCTCTAAATAAATACATACACACACACACAAGAGCGCGCGCACACAGACACACACACACTTAAGTAGATGTTTTAAGAAAACATAGGCATTCCTGAGGAACAACAAACACCTGAGGTTGTCCTCTGGCTTTCACATATGCACGTGTGCACACTGGTACACACAACGCACATGCAAATGTTTTGGGTTTTGCGAGACTCACACTCAGTAACTTAAATTATACTTTGAGGAATTGTCTTAATATTGTCCTTATTAAGGAAAATCATGCAAGCCAGAATTATGAGCAAGCAATTGGGCTCGTCAGTGCATCTCTGAGGATTTTCCAGACTTGACCAGTGCTATGTTCACACTTCTGTAGTGCAAGGTTCACAGGCAGCCCGATAGACATAGTAAACGTTGTTTTACTAAGTAGTTACTGAAAGCAGAGGAAAGGCCTATGATAACCATTTTACACATTCTAGCCCCTGAAATCTGTTGATTACTGTGCACTACTATACAATAAAATATCTTGATAATACACAGCATGCTTTCCCTGGTGTGTGCGTGTGTGTGTATATGTGTGTGTGTGTGCGCGCGCGCGTAGTGCTGGTTTCTTATTCCCTGCCTGTGACTCTCATTCTGCTGGGAATGCTATGACGCCAGCATCAGTAGAAGACAGGCAGTGTGGAGATGTGTAAATAAGAGCCCTGTGTGGTCTGTTAGCACAGCCTGTGGGAAATGCAGAGGAAGCAACTGATCTCCCCTCTTCACAACACATCCCCATGGATGCGAAGTGTTCATAGCCCTGCTAGGATTCAGAACCAAATTTAACGTTCTTCGGCGATATTGGAGTCTGGCACACAACACTCCATTCCTAAAGGCCAAAGCTAAGGACTTTCCTTGCGTAAGGACTGTCACAGAGGAGCCTCCTGGGTGCCCTCAGTCGAGTGTCAGGTGATGTGATGGTCTGCCAACCAGCCCACCCTTTGTGAGTGTTTGCTGGGGTCAGCTGTGGTCAGGACATGTCTGCACCCCATCCGCTCATTCATACGGCAGATAAGGAATGGACATCTAAGTGCCAGAGGCTGTCAAGGTGGACATTGTGAACCAGTGGTTGGAGATGGGGTTTTCAGATAAGTTTACTCAGTCATTCTTTGGTCCCCATGGGAAATTGAGACTAGAATCCCTTTCAGGAACCCAAATCCTCAAGTGTCCAAGTCTCAACCTAAAATGGTATAACATCTGCACAGAACCCATACACATATCCATATAGTTTCATCTTTAGATAACTTAGAATCTCCAATACGATGAAAACACTATGGAAGTCATTGCTATTCTTTTCCAGAAACAATCCTTTTTAAATGTAGTCATTCATGTTCAGCATGGATGTAGTTTCCCTCTTGTCAAAGTTGCTGGAATCCAAGCATGTGAAAGCCAGGTTGAGGACTGGAGGTGCTCTGCAGAGAGCAAGTGGTTCAGGGAGGGACCCCAAGTCCTTGAAACCTAGAAGGACTGGCAATCCTGCGTGACATGGATGCCCATGACAGGCCTGTTTAGGACGAAAGCCGGGCTTGTGTTGTAGCTTGGGTTCAGGCTGTTCTGCCTTGAGCAGGCTGAGAAGGAAAAGGAGAAAAGGCACAAGGTAGTTGTCAGGGACTTAAAACCACAGATTTGGGGTTGCTTCTGATGCAGACATGGTAACAGGTTCCATGTGTGCCAGGGAAAGAAATCAGATAGTTCTCACTGGACAGCAAAAGCCTGAAGCATGTGGAGAGTGTGGGTTGGTGGGAGGGACCAGTGAGGCTGCAAGAGACTGGCAGGAGAGAGGTGTACAAGGCGAGTCCTGAAAGGTAAGAGATGCTGCTGCTTAGAAGAAAGAGGATTGGTAGTCCTTGATTAAACAATGCCTCAGCCATCTGGCCTTGGCTGGAGCCTGTTCCCTAGATGAAGGGCTAGAACTGTCACCAATGGGACAGTTGTCCAGCTGACTGTTGCTGCCTTATTCCTCCTCAGATTTTTGTCCCCTTCTTCGTTATCTACAGTTTCACCGTGATTCATCTAGGCTTGTCTGTATTTGTCTTGTATCGTTAGTTCTCAAGTTACCAATTCTGGAAATTGTTGGCTCCTGTTTCTGTCACATAGTATCCAGACAGAAATATATAAAATGTAACAGGGGCTGAGCTCCTTGCAGGCAAACAGGTGCCTTCTCTCTCATAGGTGAGGAGGCCTCTGTAAAGCTGATGTCTTGCATGGCCACTGGCTTCAGAGTCTACAATGTATCCCCCTGCAGTGTGCCAGCTGCCCATGTTTCAGAGGTTCCTATAAGCTCAAGTGAAACAGACACTCTGTTTATATTGATTCCTGTGACTGTCAATGTATTGATTTTATGCTTTTTAATAGTCTCGTTTTGTTTCTAAAGCTAGTGCTTAACCCACGTAAATGGGATCCAAATAAGCAGAATGTCTTAGTTTGGGTTTCAGTTGGTCTGATACAAGGCCATAACTGAAAGCAGTATGGAGGAGAAAGTGTTTACTTCATCTGTCTCTTCCACCTCATAGTCCAACACTGAAGAAAGTCAGGGCAGGAAATCAGGAACCTGGAGTCAGACACTGAAGCAGAAGGCCAGGAGGAGTGGTGCTGACTGGCTTGCTCCTTCCGGTTTAGCCTTGTTTCTTGTACAAATTAGTACCACCTTCCCAGGGATGGTACTGCTTGTAGTAGATCAGTCCCTTCCACATCAGTCACCAATCAAGAAACTGCCCCAGGGGTTCGCCCATAGGCCAGTCTGGTAGGAAACATTTTCTCAGTTGAGGTTCCCTCATCCCAGATAACTCCAGCTTGAGTCAAGTTGACAAAATACCAAGTAGGACATCAAAGAGAATCTAGGCTTTGTTTCCTTGATGTGCTCTGTCAGGCATGTGTAAATCAAGACTCCTGCATATTGCCTGTGGGTTGTGTGTTCTTCTGTGGCCTTCAGCTGACCCTCTGCAGGTACACCCACTAAGCTGTAACTCCTGTGATGGGCTTGGACATCCTGT